TTTGTTTGTTTGTGAGTGCAGGCTTCCAAACAATTGACAGTCTGGTAGAATCATCTCTTATATTCATGCTTTCAGGTCTTTTTTCAATCTCTATGGCTTCTCTGAGAATTCTGTGGCTGGGGTTTTCTATAGTGGCTAGGGTTTTGGTGCCATTGAAGTCGATGCTATGACCTGTTGCATAGGTCTGTTCATCTTCTAGGTGTGACACTGAGACATAATGGAGACTTAGAAGATGAACAGACCTATGGAACAGCTGTCCTGCCCTACATAAGAGGTACTACATACAAAATCTGCAAGATACTACACAGGCATCACATCAAGACTGCCTTCAAAACAGACAGAAAAATAGCAGCCATCCTAAGAAACCCCAAAGATAAAATTGACCTGGAAAACCAAGGCATATATGAAGTCCCCTGTGCATCATGCCCGGCCACATACATTGGACAGACCAATAGAAGAATAAGTACCCGCCTAGATGAACACAAAAATGCAGTAAAAAAGCTGGAACACACTTCCTCACTAGTCCAACACATGAAAGCAACAGGTCATAGCATCGACTTCAATGGCACCAAAACCCTAGCCACTATAGAAAACCCTAGCCACAGAATTATCAGAGAAGCCATAGAGATTGAAAAAAGACCTGAAAGCATGAATAGAAGAGATGATTCCACCAGGCTGTCAATTATTTGGAAGCCTGCACTCACAAACAAAAAAAATCTCCACACCACAAGCTAGATAGATAGATAGATAGATAGATAGATAGATAGATAGATAGGTAGATAGGTAGATAGGTAGATAGGTAGATAGGTAGATAGGTAGATAGGTAGATAGGTAGATAGGGATAGGGATAGGGATAGAGATAGAGATAGAGATAGAGATAGAGATAGAGATAGAGATAGAGATAATTAATTTACAGTATATTACGTATTACTTTGGAAACAAAAATTATGCCATCTTCCTATGTCTTTTATTAACTTTGAAAGGGGGATTTCAAAATCTGAGCAGAGAGTTTAAAAAAATCTTCCTTGTGCCTGTTCTGATCTCATCCATGGTCAGCCCATCTCACACTTTATATTCTTAAAACCAGCAGGTTATATGTATGTAAAGGTATCTTAAGTAATATCGTAGTTACTTTGATTGATTGAGCCTTTGGCATATATTCATCACTACAGCTTTCAAGTTTGCTGTAGTTTGGGAATGAAATCAATTATTCAGTATTTAAAAACCTTCATTATATCATTACATATTGCTTTGATAATATGATTGGCTCTAAAAAGTTGGCTTCTCTTAGACATTTCTTGCCTAAAAAATAATTTTTCAGTATTCCTTCCCCCCGCCCCCAATCCCTTTTTTCGAGTGAGACTTTGGGCAGTTATGGGAAGTAATATATTCAGTTCTGAACTGTGATGTATATGTGGTGAATGCACAGCTTTTGGTGACTATAGGACATATCCATGTAGGGTTTTTTGTTTTTGGCAACAGAAAAAAAAATGATTATCTGGTCTTCTTTTGGTTGTTTTGATAGGTTTTGTCTTTCCAGTCACCCCACAACAGTGAAATTCCCTTTGTGTCTTCTGTCCAAGATCTAGCCAGACCTCACAATGCTTAATTTCTAAGCCTAGATGAGGACAGGCATATACTGCCATCTGCTGAGACTTCCAATGAAAAGGAGTAATAGAAAGAAAGAATAAACAGTGTGAAAAAAGAAAAGAAAATAAAGTTTAAAAGAAAAAATATTTAAAGAAGTGATTTCTGATCTTCATCACAAGTATAAAAAACTTATGTCTTCACTCCCTGTAGGTTGGGGGTGAAATATCTCTTTTTCCCATACCTTCTGCACATCCATAAATCATCAACTTTTTAGTCCTGGTGTCAGCATGAAGTCCATAAGTACCAGAGCGTTATAGAAACATGTCCAACTTTAACCTTTAAGCAAACTATCATTTTTGGAATATTCACCATCCTCTTTGACTGCAGAGGAAACAAAGTTGTATTAGAAATGTCGAAGATAAACATCGAGATTTCCAATTAAGTGGCAGCCTCAAGGCACTTGTTTTGCCCTTTGAAGTCTCCATATTTGCTGCATTCACAGAAAGGACATAAATATGGTAATCCTGGATTTCATTAGTTTAGCAATAATGCTCCTGAGACCTTGAGAGGCTGGAAAAAGTGAGGGTGTATAACATCTGGCCATAGGCAAACTACTATCTTCTGGTTTGTGACTTAGAATAATATATGGATCCAGCCAATTGTGACTGATTGAACCAAAAATCTATAAAGAGTTGCTCACAGCAACATTTAAGCCCAGTCTGACTATTAAAATACAGTCCATGCAGGAAAGTAGTGACAATATTTCTAAGTCGCATTGAGTGGAAATGGACTTGAGATGGCTCACCACATGAATCCTATGTGATAAGAGAATACTAAACTACAAATGTTTTCATACTTCCGCCTCTCCAATACAAGAGATTACTTTTCTTCTTCTTTGTTCTTTACATGCTTTATCATTCTTTTTGAATTTCTTTTGGTGCTGTTTTTGAAGCCACTGTACTCCTGCAATACGGTAAAGGTTGCTACTGCTGAAATACATCACTCAACTGACTTCCCAGCTGGACAGATTCAGAGAAGCGCCTCAGGTCTAAGGCTGAAGGAAGTTAAGATCAGGGTGCCTGAAATAGGATGTATATGCAGGGATCATGCAGTCATGTTGGGTGCAGATAAAGCAAGGTAGACTTACTGTATCCTCAATGGATGTCTGCAATGAAGATTCTCAGTCATCCAGGTAGAATTGTCTGGAAATTAACTCAACTTCCATTACCCTCAATGGACTATATATACTGTATATATATTTACTCCATTTTCCAATCATATTCCTTTTTACTAGAATGGTGCCATGTTGTACAGTACAGTCATCAGTAGTTATCTTTTCTTTGTTTACCATTCTGCGCAGGACATTTTTAATTTGGCAATTAAAAATAATTTGATCTAAAATTATTTTTGTAAATCTCATTAACAGAGTTGCAACAGCTATTGGTTCTCCCATGGGTCTGAAACTTGTCCATCTTCTATGTCTTTTAGGCAAGATAAATAATAAATATTTTCCAAATCAAAGCAATGTTTGCATGTTGTTCTGTACTTTGACTTCAAAAATCCTGTACAGAACGTATTGTCTAATGATGCAAAGAACGTAATATTAACATTTTAGTTTACTCTCCACCCCCTTCGGTTACTCTCTCTGCCTAGGTTCCTTCAAGCCCTAGATAGAAGCTAATTTTGGCATGGCATAAATGGCATGAAAAAGAGTTATGATCCAGAGTTCTTGTTGATGTGCCTACAAGCACTTCCTTTTTTGTTTCCCTGCCCTGGAGGATTGTTTAAATTTTTCAGAGGCCAGCATGTGGCAAACCATAACATCAATCTTTCATAAATCTCAGCCCTTCAGGGTATCCAGACAAGAGGAATTATACCATGAGTACTAAGATTACCCTTACTGTAAAGTTAATGTGACTTGCAAATCTAAAAGCACTTTTCTTCTTCATTTTTATGTTCAGAAAACAAGGAAAGATCTCTTTTGAGACATTTCCCATGCTCGTTTTCCTTCTGTTGGCTGAGATATCTTTGGCATGATGACTGCCTGGTACAGTGTTGGTGAACCTTTTCGGCACCGACTGCCGAAATGGGAGTGCGCACACACGCATGCGGGAGCTCTGCAACCTGGAAGAGCAGATCCTCAATGCACAGGCACACACCGGGAAGCTGAGCATTTGTTTTCCAGCACGCACATGTACGCTGGCCAGCTGGTCTTTGTGTGTGCATGCATGCCAGAAACCGGAAGACCAGCTGGCTGGCGCACATGCACGTGCCGGAACTCAGAAGAGCAACAGGTGACAGCTGGCATGCCCAAAGAGAGTGCTCTGCATGCCACTTCTGGCATGCGTGCCATAGGTTCGCCATCATGGGCCTAGTAGCTTTTCCTCCTGTCTCAAGATCATTTTCACATATCATCACAAAAGGCATCCTTATTGCCAGGAGTGCCTCTGGTCTCCAAATGGGCCCACATAAGTTTTCTTAGATAGTGAACATGAAGAGCTACAGGCCATGCTTTGGAAGTATGCTTATCTGCTGAGAAATGGATTAAAGGAAATATGGATTTAGGAAACATGTGAGAAACAAGGACTTCAACAGTAGCATTCTACTAAGTAGTTCCTTTGTTACTGGAATGTCCCTCATGACAAGGAATCTGTGAATGAGCATATCCCTGATCAGTTTTTTTTTTTTTGCATGGTCCCAACGTATTCTCAAAATTCCATATTTGCCTTCTGGCCCCCAAAGATTCAGAACCTAAGACATACACATATAAAAATGGACACCATTATTTTTCTTTTTGTACCTAGAGAGATTTAATCCCTGTGGATATCTGCATGTATTTCTGTGCTCTTTCTTTAACTTTCCATTTTGAGCCTTCTTTTCATTAATTTCACAATTTGTACCACATTCCAGACTGTGCAATAAATCTCATTTTAAGTCTATATTCACGGCTTTGAGAATAACATCCTTCACTTCCCTTTTACAGCTGGCTGAATATCAGGAAAAGAGTGGTCCTATGTATGTTTGTGACTTTTTTCTTGGCTTCTCCAAATGTTGGTGCTGTTCCTTACTCTCCAACAAGAGAAGGAAAGCTCCTAATTATGCTTGCAATTAGACTCGTCCCCCAGGACGTTGGGTTCTCTTGTATAACGTACCTCAGGTTCAGCCCTCTGGAGTTGCACATATAAGCAGAAGTGGAATACTTGGTCCGGCACTCCTTTTGAAAATCACTCCATGGTAGTTTTGAGGTGAGGAATAAGACAAGTAGATCTCTCCCACCCATTTGCCTGAAAAGGAAATCCTGGATCCTTCTGAGAAAGGAGGAGGAACCACACACAGCTCCAACTGTCTACTGAGGCATGAACCTTCTGTTCCACCTCTTCTTTTTCATCCATGCGCCCCCTGTTTACCCAATGGACCAGAAGGCTTTGGAGGATTATGTGAACCTTCCTGACCCTCATTACAGTTATACCCTTGTTTCTAAAGAGGAGCACCATGACTCCACTGTCTATACCATCAATATGACCTCACTGAAGTGGTTGGAAGGTAAGTAGCCCTCTGGAAGTGGTGACTTGGGACTTGTTTGCTTGTTGCTCTTGGTGGAGAGGAAACTTAACCCTTCTCGGGGAAGAAATTATTAAAAAGGCAGGAGATGTTTTGATAAGTTGGTAAAAATGTCCTTCTTCATAAAGCATGATGGGAACTAGATGCTCCCTCCCCTCCAAATCCTCTTTTCTATTATATTCCACCTGTAGTTTGAATATAGATCCTTGCTTTACTTACCTAAATCTGTGTAGGTAAGTGAAAGGTAGAGTAGCTGCACAATGCTATTGTCATTGGAAGCGGCAGGAAACATTCAGCTGGAACCACCCACCAGCCTTCCAAAAGTTATGGTAACATGAGGCTCCTGTGCTGATCATTAAAAGACTCATATTCCTTTGATTTGTTTCCAGTGATTGGAACAAAGCATAACTCAGTTATTGTGCTTTTTGAAGAAATTACAGTGGAATTTTATTTATAGATGAAATTGTATAAATAGTATTAAAACGGACCCAGTGAAACACTTTTCAGAATAAATAATTTGTGGGTGGCCAACAAATTCGGCAAAGAGGTTATTTAATTAGGGTATGTTTTCCCACCATCTCTCCTGCCAGTCATCCCATATCTTGGGGATGTTATGCTAATCGTCAACTCAAAAGCAACACTTCAGGCCTTTCTAGCAGAAAGGGGTTTTAGGGGCCATTTTGCTCCTGCCTCCTATTCAGTAAGATAGAAAAGATTTTACTTCCTGTTTTTAACTTTTTATTTCGCTACCCGGGTGAAGTATAACTCTACAGATTTACAACCAGATTTACACAGCTATAAGGATAATTTTATGCAACGGTAACTACAAAGCTCCATGAACAAGAATCTGGTTATCTGGCATTTGCTCAGTGTCTCTCTCACCCATGCGAACTGCTTCCTTGAAGGGCAATGCTTTTTCTGATAGAGACCATATGTTCTTTCAAGCACTTCCAGCCTTTCCCTCAGTTAGGTTGTTCAGCCATGGCGGCCTTGCAAACCAGTCTCATTTCTCATGGCTTGTACCCTCTTGAGCCAGCTAGAATCCTTGCTGATCCAAATGCAGGTTGGGCTATTCACAGACTTTGTCAGTCTTGATTCTCTGTACCAGCCATCACAAACTGGACACCTCTCACTCTTTCTCTTTCCACAGATACATGGGATGCATCTCTTAATGGGTTGATTCACCTTCCCTGAGCTTAGCTGCAATCAGGCATATCAGCTGGGCACAGGGCAGGGTGGAGAGAAAAACCTGGCATATTCACCTATTATTTTTTCCTCACAAGCAACCTTTTGGTCGGTTGCTTCCCTAAATGGGACAATTTGTTCCCTATTCCCCTTTTGTTTTCTTAAGTTGCCTCATGAGTAACCACTCTCTCCCTTTAAATTTTCCCCCTTTCCCCTCTTATTCTGGAGTAAACTTTCTCCCTCATGGCTCAACTTGACTCAGCCTTCCATCCTTCCAAGGTGGGTAAAATGAGGACCCAGATTGCGACTTCCGGTTTGTCGGCTTCACGAGCGGCAGGGATTTGCGAAGCTGCGCGATCCCTGCCGCGCTAGCCGTTTTTGGGGCTCCGACCCAGACGGGTACGGAGCTAGGCTGCCCTGCAGGGGCAGCTGAAGGTAGGGGGGATCCGGAGAAGGGTTTGGGGGTTTTGCAGACCCCCTCCCCGGCCGGCAGAACCCCCTTTTCCCAGGACGGTGCAGCGGCGGTCCGTAATGGCCGCCACAAAGAAGCTGGCAGCCGGGTAAGAATGCGCAGGAGGAAGTGGAGAAAGTGCTTGAAAGGAGAAAGTTTTTCTTGGCTCCTAGGACTCTAAGACATATTTAACAAAATTCCTGAAAAGTATGACTTTCTGAATGATACCTTCGAGAAGAGGAAAAAAGCGGCAGTTTAATGGTGCTAAAAGGATAGCTTACCCTCTTTTTCTACGGAATAAAAAGTGAATATTAAGAAATCTATTTTTTTTTAGGTGAAAACTGGCTTTAAGCGATGAGTGGGAAAAGAGAGGACTAAAAAAAAATATTTGTATGCTAAGACTTTGTTGGAGGAGATGCCTTAAGGATTGAAAGACTAAAATATATTGCAATAAGATTTTAAGAAACAGATTTGGACTTTCTTTTTCTCTGATTGATACTACCCTAGGAGGAGAGAGTGGGAACTCTGTCTTGGTTTGGACTGACTGATAACTTTGGGATTGTCTTATTTTTCCTTTGGAATATTCTGACTGTTGTAAGAGAAAAGAAAAGAAAAGATTTATAATGGCTCCTTCTATTGAGGAACTGAGAAAAGATTATGAGCAAGCAAAAAAAAATGGTAAAGCTGGTTTGAAAGAAGCCTTCCCTTTTTTAGAAATGGCGCTTATTAACTATCAACAAACATTGCAGCAGATGAAGACAGCAGAAGAAGAAGGAGAGGAAACCATCTTTAATAAATCTCAGAACTCGACCAAGAGGGAAGGAAGAGGGAAGAGAAGAGAAATAAAGGACTTAAGATTTAAAAAAACATTTAAGAAAGGGAAAAACAAGGTGCAAAATCAATATAAGGATGGTAAACAAAAGGGAAGAGGAATACGACAGAGAAGGGAAGCCAGTAAGGCAGAGGCTAGAAGAAGGGGGGGTAGAAAGGTTTGTTGGGAGAAGAAAGAAAGGGAAAAGGTGGAGAAAAGCTACAAAGTTTTGAAATTAAATGGGAAAAAAGGAATTTTTTTTAGGGATAAAGGATAAGTATAATTTCTTCAAAGAGATTTTGCAAGGTACATAAGATGATATGGTAGTATTGTATTAGAAATAGAAAACTTAAATGGCTTAAGAGTTGATAAGAGATTAAAATGTTGAAATGTTAATAATGATTGGTTTTAAAATATAATATGAGGGGAGATTTAGAATATTGAGCTTTAATTAAAGAGTTTAATAAGATTATGGGATTGATGTTATTATAAAATTTTCATTATAGTATTTGTTTTTAATATTTAGATCTATTGTTTAACTATGTATTTAATTATTTTGGATGTATTATTCAGTTAGAATGTACCAAGCAAAATCGGATTGGGTATTCTAAAGATTAATTTGATTAATTTAGTCGGGAGATAGAAAGGCATCATACTCTGATTAGTGATTTCAGGAGAAATTTCTTTTTTTTTTATAAGGAATGAGACAAAGGTACAATAAAGAATGGACAAAAGATACAAATATAATGACTCAAATTAAGATGATTAATTAAGATAGAATTAAAAAGAGTGAAATATGGGGAGAAGTTAATATAGAAGATTTAGAATGGTAAATAAAATAAGTAATGATATGTAAGATGAGTATGAATACAGTTGAAGTCCATGAAGAAAGAAATACCTGGGTCCAAGTTACTTTCCAAAAAGATCTTTTTTTATGTTTTGTGTGTTGTGTATATATGTTTTTTGGGGGGGAGAATTAATGAAACCTTGCAGAAATATAGAATGAGAATAATGGTAACTAAGTCAGAAAGAAATAGATGAAATAATAATAATAAAATGGAATAAGAGTAAAGAGAAAGAAAGAGAAAATGGATAAGAGGTTTTTGTATGTTTATATGGAAATGGTTTAAAACAGAATTATAGTTTATCTGACTTGTTAAATTTATAATGGAAAAAGGTTTAAATATGTAATGGATAATGACGACTTGTGTGTTTTGAAAAAAAATAATAAAACTTGTTTAAAAGAAAAAAATGAGGACCCAGATTGTTGTTGGGGACAATATGCTGACTCTGTAAACCACTTACAGAGGGCTGTAAAGCACTGTGAAGCAGTATTTATATAAGTCTGTTATTGCTATTGTAAATCTGTGTTTCCTTTTGTATCTCCTTTGATTACCTAAGTCATCCAATTACTTATCTTTTTCCTGGCCATTTTTTCCACCATTTGAATTAAGCCTGCTAACACTGAGTCCCCCCACAACCTCACACTTTTATATTTTTTATAAATTATCAGTTCCTTCCATTCATTACCTTATCCAGATTACCTCTCAGGCTCCCATTGGTCTTCCCAGAAGCCGCCCTCCTCACTCTGTGATCTAATTACCTTATCTATTCATCCTTAAGTTCTGTTTCCTATATCCTGCAAATGCTGAGCCCTCGTCACCCTCAGTTTTCTTACCCTCAGATTCTTCTCTTCCTTCTCATAGCAGACCTCTGTCATATACACCGCTCAAAAAAACAAAGGGAACACTTAAACAACACAATGTAACTCCAAGTCAATCACACTTCTGTGAAATCAAACTGTCCACTTAGGTAGCAACACTGATTGACAATCAATTTCACATGCTGTTGTGTAAATGAATAGACAAGAGGTAGAAAGCATAGGCAGTTAGCAAGACATCCCCAATAAAGGAGTGGTTCTGCAGGTGGTGACCAGACCACTTCTCAGTTCCTATGCTTTCTGGCTGATGGTTTGGTCACTTTTGAATGCTGGTGGTGCTTTCGCTCTAGTGGTAGCATGAGACGGAGTCTACAACCCACACAAGTGGCTCAGGTAGTGCAGCTCATCCAGGATGGCACATCAATGCGAGCTGTGGCAAGAAGGTTTGCTGTGTCTGTCAGCGTCGTGTCCAGAGCATGGAGGCACTATCAGGAGACAGGCCAGTACATCAGGAGACATGGAGGGCATGTCCATGCCCCATGGAGGGCAACAACCCAGCATCAGGACCGCTACCTCCACCTTTGTGCAAGGAGGGACAGGAGGAGCACTGCCAGATCCCTGCAAAATGACCTCCAGCGGGCCACAAATGTGCATGTGGCTGCTCAAACGGTCAGAAACAGACTCCATGAGGGCCCGATGTCCACAGGTGGGGGTTGTGCTTACAGCCCAACACCGTGTAGGACGTTTGGCATTTGCCAGAGAACACCAAGATTGGCAAATTTGCCACTGGCGCCCTGTGCTCTTCACAGATGAAAGCAGGTTCTGGGAGTGGAAGTCCACAAGTCTTAAAGTTGCTAAGGTTGGAGACCCCTGTATTAGAGGCTATAGCCCCATGATGGTGAACCTATGGCATGCATGCTGGAAGTGGAGGTTGCCTGAAAGAGTGCCTGGAAGAGAAGTTGCCTGGAAGAGCGCCATTGCACATGCGCACATGCGCACATGCGCACATGCGCCACTGCCCGACAGCTGATAGTTGGGTATCTGGCATGTAAGCATGGGGGTGCGCAGGAGACATGCATGCGTGTGCAGAGATACATGGGGCATGCTGGGGATCACACATGCATGCACAGGGGGCATGGGGGGGCAGCGCGCATTGCCTTCACGGGAGCCGGAAAAGGTTAGCCACCACTGCTATAGCCAATGACTTGGCTAAACTGCCTGATAGGTCTAGTCCCACGCTCTCTCTCTGGATCTCAACAGGATCCATCAGTTTCCTGGGGCAGACCAACTTAACAGGCTCTTTTGCCCCACAGAGGTGGGTGGCCCCAGCGATTCCTAGCAAGTACTTTATGATGTGATAATGTATGGTTGTTAGAGTTTGTGCCTGGTTGCATTGGTGTGGGGCTTGGGAGTCTTATCTTTACTATATCTGTCTTTTCATCCTCAGATTCTGAAGTGGATAAAACAATCTGGTGGCATATGGTGACCATGACTACACCCAAAGTATATAAGAATGCCCAGATGAAGAAATCGTGTTTCCTTTTGCTTGCTGGTGGAAGAAATGACGGTCTAGAAGAACCTGCTGAATACTCCGCTGATCAGATTAGAACTCTAGCAGTCACAACTGGATCGTACGTAAACTTTTCCTTAAGGAGGGGTAATGACAGAAATTCGACAACTTCTTAGGAAAAGTTCTCAATGGTTTCCATAGGTATCAGGAGCCGTGGTGGCATAGTGGTTAGAATGCAGTATTGCAGGCTAATTCTGCTGACTACCAGGGGTTTGTTCCTCACTGACTCAAAGTTGACTCAGCCTTTCATCCTTCCAAGGTTGGTAAAATGAGGACCCAGATTGTTGGGGGCAATATGCTGACTCCATAACCTGCTTAGAGATGGCTGTAAACCACTGTGAAGTGATATATAAGTCTAAGAGCTATTGCTATCACCAATCCTACAGGAATTAGGAACCTGAAGGCAGGAAGATACGTTGTAGAAAGCAACAACTGAATTTGTATCAACTGTACATCTACTGTATCTCTAGTTATTTTTAGGTTTTGTCTCATATAAGACTGGGATTTAAAACCTAATAATAAACAATAGGGGGAGGAAAGTGGAATAGAAGTAGGATTAAGCAGGGATGTAACTCCATCTTCCTAGATTAAGAATTAATAAAGTAGGAGACTGATTGTTATTGGTACTTATTTGGACTTCTTGAATACGCTCTTCCAGAAGTTTTGATCACAGCATATTCTCCAATCCCTGTTTCTTTATTTCATCTGATCAACCAATTGGTCCATCATGTGTCTTTTTGTAGATTTTCCTATGACCCCCCTAAAAACCATATAAAGGAATTAAGATAAGCACAAAGGCTCCAGAAGGTAGTTTGAAATATTAAGGGCAGCAAAGGAGAAAGAACATTAATCTTTTGAGGGAGGAAAAAGCTGGCAAAGGAAGAAGCGGAACAGCAATAACTGCAAACTTTATCAGAACAAAAAACAAAACAATCAGAGGACTGAAGGAGGAGTTCAGCTATTTGCATAATCATGATTTATAGTATCATCCTATATTACTCTGGAAATTTAAAACATCTCTTCATTGCTGTTATATCAGCATATTGGTGTCTGGAGATGCTTGAAGGTGCTATAAATCACTACTGTGGAAATAATTTGGGGGTGGGAAAGGAAAACCAAGGAAAGAGAACAGAGTAGATACCCCAAAGTGCACTTACTTTTGGTAACATCACACAGAAAGACTTATCCTATGTTACCCTTGTAACTATTGTGTGAGGTAAATTGGCTAGTGATCTTCATAACTGAGTTAGATTTGAACGTTGACATCTCAAGTCATTATTTAATTTTGTATCACATGACTCACAATGTCACCGAGGACACTTTCGCACTAGTTGCATTAAAACAAATGTCTTGTTGTTCCTTGGGGAGCCAGGTTGTGCCTATGTGTGCTTCTGTGTGTGTGTGTTTCTCTCTCGGGGGGCGGGGGGGGGGAACGCTTAGTGTCTTGGTAATCTAGCAGACAGTAGAATTGCTCAATAAATTATGGTGTCAGCTAATGTGTGAAAGAACTCTCTCTCATGCCCACATCAACATTCATGTCATTTGGGAAAATACACAGTACTGCTCATAAAAGATGTTCTTCCTCATACTAACTTTAGTATAATGCTGTGTGTAAAGGTAATTTGAAAACTAGACCTAAAGTCTAACAAGGATACTTTATCCCATGATGCTGCAGCCACATTCAGCCAGTTATTGCATGTACTATATACATGCATACACACATAAACACACTTTTTATGTTAACTTTTAAACAAGAAGACAAAAGGTAACACAAACTAAGGGAAAGAAAGGAAGGGGGGAAAAGGAAAGAAATAAAATAAAAAGCAATAAGTGTAAGAAAAGAAAAATATTGGAAAAATATACATATACATTACACACACACACACACACACACACACACCCCTTTACCTTCATGTTCCACATTGTCTCCGGTTACTCCTGGTACTTCTCCAGTTTCTCATATTCTATATATAAAGACCAAAGTTGTCCCAGTGATGATAGAACTGCTTAGGGCTATGATTCCTAAACCGGACAAGTGGCTCCAACAGATTCCAGGACCAACATCAGAGCTCTCTGTCCAGAAGAGTGCAGTCCAAGGAACAGCTGAGATACTGCACAGAAGGAGGATCCAAGATTTAGGAAGACATATACCACACATAAGCACAAGGGAATTTTTATATAAAGAGAAAATACAGTACTGTACATACATACATACATCTCTCTTTCTCTAAAGTTACACCATAGTGCTCTTCTTTCTATAATCTACCCTGTCTAATCATGAAAACCATAAATTGCAATTTCATTCTTTTCACTTTTCTACAAAAAATCCAGAAGAGGCTTCTAGTCACCAATAAAAATATGTCTTTTCTCTAATTAAACAAGTTATATTTAATCCTAATATTTTTCTTCTAAATATATATTTTTGCCATTGTTTAAATGGTACATCTGATGTCAAAACACGTACATTGTCTGAAGCAAAAATATCATTTTGGGCAAAAAAAATCATTTTATTACACATATTCTCTCCAAAAGTGACAGTTTTAATTTCTCCCATCTTAATCTGTCATTCTTAATTTCAGTCCTTGTTTTAACATAATTATTTTGAAATAGCATACGATTCATTTGTCACAGTAACACTCAAATGTTTTACTTTTTTCTCACTCTTAAAACACGTTTTCTCCATCATGTCTTTGTTAATATTTTTGTCATCTGTTTATTAATCTTAAATCTGCTTATATTCAAAATGCCTTTGATTTTCCCATTAGTGCTTTTACTCCCTCTAGTGGATCTTCTAAAATTAACCTCAGGACATTCACAAATGATCTTAATTTATAAATTTCAAACTACATTAATATTCTTAGATGCAGAGAAGGCCCTCTGATGATTTGAATTTTGTTGTTGTTTAGTTGTTTAAAGTTCTAGAACATACGAACTTTATTAAATAGATAAAGTTGATTTATACTACTTCTCAGAAAGCACAAATAATTGTTAATGGAAAAATAACAAAACGTTAGGGGACAAGACAGTATGTCTACTATCTCCAATTTTGTTTATTTTGGTTCTTGGAAGTATTTAATAGAGATACAGGTAATCCTTGACTTATGATCACAACTGAGTCCAAAATTTCTGTTGCTAAGCACAATAATAGTTAAATGAGTTTGCCCCATTTTACAACCTTTTCTTGCCACAGTTGTTAAGTAGGTCACTGCAATTGTTAAGTTAGTAACACAATTATAAAGTGAACCTGGCTTCCCCATTGACTTTGCTTGCCATAAGGTTGCAATAACTGATCACATGACCCCTGGACACTGCAATCGCCATAAATATGAACCAATTGCCAAGCGTCTGAATTTTGATCATGTGATTATGGAGCTTTTGCAACGGTCATAAATGTGAAAAACAGTCATATGTCACTTTTTTCAGTGCCGCTGTAACTTTGAACAGTCACTAAATGAACGATCTTAAGTTTCTGACCTGTATATGACAAGGTCAGAAAATTATGGGGGTTATGATTAAAAAAGAAACCTATAAGTTATGAGTGTATTTTCTAAATATAGTGTAATAATTATTTGAATATCCTCTCCAAGGCTGCACTTATGTGCCATTAAGATTTTTTAAATGAAGACTTTGAACCCCTGTAAAATTCAAATCCACACTAATCCATTATTTTCTTATATTGCGATACTATATTAGAGTTGGATCTAATGGAATAAGCCTAATGTTATTCATCTGAAAAGCAGAATGATTCTCAATGTCACATAGCTAGAGACATTGAGGACGCAAGCAAGGACCATGAATTTTAGAGCAAACCGATTGCATTGCATTGAGCTGTGGTGGGGCAGTGGTTAGAATGCAGTACTGCAGGCTACTTCTGTTGACTGCCGGCTGCCTGCAGTTCGATACTTTGATTCTGACCGGCTCACGGTTGACTCTGCCTTCCATCCTTCCAAGGTGGGTAAAACGAGGAGCTAGATTGTTGCGGGCAATAGGCTGACTCTGTAAACAGCTTAGAGAAGGCTGTAAATCACTGTGAAGAGGTATATAAGTCTAAGTGCTATTGCTACTGCTATTACAGGACCCTTCGCTACTAAACAGCAAACATAACCACCATTCTCTGCTTTTCAGTCACATCTAAAAATCAGAGTTTTGCTACAGCTGATAAATACAAATTGGCTACTAAAGGAGTTGTTCATAAAGTACAACATAATCCATTCCCATTCGTTCCAATTGCAAGTCAGATCTTTACCTGGCATATATGGATTTGGGGGTGGTGAGGGTGGAGAGACAAAAGTGGTGGAAAAATGCTCCCACAATTGCAGAGCTCAGATTTATTGTTTTTCTAAGGAGTGGGTGGGATGACGAATGGATTTTTATGTACCTGCAGTTTGATTTCCATTTTGTTGAAATGAAAAGCTTGGGCCCTTTCAATTGTTACCTTCTGTTTAGAATGGTGCAATTGTCTTGACTTAACAACTAGCCACAGATACTTCCAGCCCTGTGACAGCTGGGGATTCATGGGGTCATAAAAAGGGGTTGAAAGCTGGGTCGAGCCTACAGACTGACTAACTTTAAAGTGGCACCTACCTGATGTTACTGGTGTCAAACTATTTCTTCTGAGTTTGCCTATTACAAATAAGCGAAGAGTGGGAATGCCAGAGTGGGATGATGTTTTTGTTCTTTGAAACTGGTTTGGACTGACTGGTTTGTCTTGGCAGGGTTGCAGTTCTCCTGATGCAAATCCCCTTCCAGCCTCTCACTTTCTACGTAAGTACTTGTGGGTTTTGCCTGCTTTGAAGTTCCCTTCTAGCTTTCAAAGGAGAGGTAGTGATCACGCAGGACAATAATTTTGGACCCCAAAGGAGCTGCTGATGGAAACTTTCTGTGACACTGCAATAGACTGTATGGCCTGCAGAAGAAGAGCAGGTAGTAACATTCAAAGGAAAACAGAATCCACAGCCAGCATTTCAAGAGGCATGAACTGAGTGGATTAAAAATATAGCCACTTAGAGGGGTTTGTTTTTTTCAAAATGAAATCACTCATTTATTCATCGTGTACACGTACTGAAATACTTAATCAATGTAAATAATATTTGGAAATAATGTGTATTAAACACACACACACACACATGCACACACATGCCAAAAAACCCCAATGTGTCAGCTGGTGCTCCATTCAAAATCCAAGAAAGAAATACTTTTAATTAGAGAAAAGATATCTTTTACTGGAAATCAAGTGGTAGCAACAAAAGAATTCTGAATCTGAGAAAATCGGCACGTAAATCACATATACAAAGTAATGGCAACGTTCCCACCCCCAATAGTTCAAACAGTTCCTCCAATTAAAAATTGTGTATCCCATCATGGGGGCATCTCCAGGTGGTGATGAAGCTTCAGTCCGTTGACCTTGACATAGTTTGATAAAGAGTTGCAGCTGCGCATAGCATAGAATAGAAACCTAAGGATAGAATAGAAACCTACGCAAGAATGTACTCCCCCCAATTAATACAGTTCTGGTTTGTAACACCTCCAGCTCACTTCCCATAATCATTTTCTCCCTCCTCCTCCCATTACTTATGACAGCCGAAAGATGCAAAGCAAAGAGAGAAAATCTTGAAGGCTGACACAATGGTTAATGGATAACATATAATTATACATGCACATACTGTATGGCTCTTGAGTAAATGCTATAGATTGGCCTGCCACTTTGGAGCCCTACCATTTTTCTTATGTAAATTAATGTGCATGGACTAAGCAGCCTTTCAAAACTTGGGAATAATAGTTCTTGTCATATTCTGGAGTTTCCATGGCAGCAGGAACAGATCCAGAAAAAGTTCTTGAAATTCTGATCGTGCCAGTATCCCTGTGCTGACATGCTTGACATTTGAGTGCTTTGCAACTAGTGGGCATTTACAATAATTGCAACGTCCTGCAGAAACACAATCACTTTTTATACATTTCACAACCAGCTTCCAATAAGCAGAACCAAAGGAAGGCCAGTAAAATTACAAGTTGCAGTGAGGTGATGGCTTGCTTAACAAATGAATGGAAAGTCCATTGCAGTCATGCATTGTTTTACTTAGTAACCATGTTCCTTAGCAATGGAGTTTTCAATCCCAGTTACAGTTGCTAAATGAGGTACTTGCATCACTTTTACAAGAGCAATACACTGCAGTTACAGACATGATACATTGATATATTTTTTTCTAGACTGCAGTTGAAGAGAAAAATACAAGTATGACTGTAAATTATTGGCTAAAAGTCTCTTGCTAAGCAGAGAGATTTATGTTGAGTGCTGAGCAATTTGCAACAGATGGTGGGAAGTGGACAAAATGCATTCTTTCTTGGAGCAAGTGATAGTATCTGCCATTATTTTGTAAAACAAGAAATGACTTTTTTTCCTTATTATTATTATTTCCAGAAACATCCTTTTGGGATGAAGAATATAACAGAAAATAGTTTATTTGCATATGTTTTATGGAGATTTATTAATGATCCAACCACTTCACTGGACTGGATCATCCAATTCCCAATGGTCAAGGTAATCCTGAAATTCATATACTTTACTATAGAGTTGTAGAGTTTGGGATCGTCCAGAGATTATTGGGCTCTAATCTCTATCAACCCCAGAAGAGACAACTTTATAACACATAGAGCAGGAATCCCCAATCTCCAGGCTGTGGACCAGTACTGGCCAGTGGCCTGTTAGGAACCCAGCCGTGCAAGTGAGCGAAGGTTCATCTGCACATGTGGGATCTAGGTAGTGCATGAAACCATCCCACCCACCTACCTGGTCCATGGAAAAATTGCTTTCCATGAAACCTGCCTCCGGTTTCAAAACGTTTTGGGACCACTGATATAGAGGACTGCAGATTTCCCATATTTACTGTAGAGTGCAGCTGTTGAACCCAATGGAATCTTTCTAGAGGACAGATGACTTGTGTAGCTATATTGTCCTTCTAATGCCTGTGTCTGTAGATCCCTGGGCCGTGCCCCCACTATCAGGCTGTGGTCGATTGGAAATTGGGCCACACAAGTGGTGGGCAAGCCCGTGCACGCATGCACAGCTCCACTTGTGTGAACAGTGGGCACTCGCATGCGAAACTCCATTGGTGTGAGAGGCGGGTATTGCACAAATGAAGGTGCACATGCTCATGCACCTGCCACTCACATAGACCCCTCTCCTGTCCCCCCCCCCTCAAGTCTGCCAAGCCAGAAAGGTTGGGAACTGCTGCTGTAGACCACATGTGATTTCCTGTGAGCTGTAGAAAACTGCTTTCTATTTAAAGTCAGCAATGCTTAATTGTCAATGAAAAGAAAGAAGAGAGGCAGTCTCAGACCAAACTGTTCACAGGTGTGAACAATAAAAAGGTTTCCAAAATACTGTTGTTCTCTTCCTAGGAAGACTTCATAAAAAAATCATTAGCAAATAACTTGCACTTACCACATTTAGAAAAGAATGACAGGACTTTTAAATACATGCACCTAAATAAATCCTTGTGGCCCCTTTAAGATTAGCTTGGCATCACCAGAAAACATTTAATGACATAGATGATGCAATGGCTAGCCTTTCATGTTATGGGAAATGAATAAAACATAATAATTGCTCTGCTCTCTCGCATGTTGAGCACTGCTTGTTCTGTTTCTCCTTTCCAGCAGAGAGTGGTTGGTTTTTCACAGGAGCCTATTAAACACATACGTTTAAAACATAATTTTGTTGATGCTTTGAACGTACCATGTCAAATCTGCATTAAAGCCAACCTCTTTGCAGAAGCTATAATCCTGCTCTCTTCCTATGCAGGCCACTGTACGAGCCCTGGACACAGTTGCGGATTTCTTGCTGAAGCAGCCTGGTGAAGATATACAAATCACCACATTTATGGTACTAGGCTCATCCAAGGTATCTGAGAGAGCCAAGGCCTAAGTAAGATGGGTGGACAATTGGAATTACTTTTTAAAGTATGCTCTCTTTTCACCCTCTGGGGGTCCCCCTCCCCTTTACTCCCCCCCCCCTTTTGTCTTCTCTGCTTCTATTTCCTCTTTGGTACAGCTAGCATAACTTGGCTGCAAAAATTCTGTTAAACTCCAAATGACAACAGAGTTTTCTGTACCTGCTACTTACATCTATTGGTTGCCTGGATTTTTGCAGCCCAAGTGTGATAATCCATGCAGATTTGATTTGTCTGGCATCCAAGAGTCTACATCAGAGGTGGGTATTCAGCAGGTTCTGACCAGTTCTAGAGAAACGGTAGCGGAAAATTTGAGTAGTTCGGAGAACCGGCAAATACCACCTCTGACTGGAGATTTTGCAGTATCCTTCCCCTGCCACGCCCACCAAGCCACACCCACAGAACCTGTAGTAAAAAAAAAATTGAATCCCACCACTGGTCTACATAATGGTGACAATACTGCTGGTGCAGTGGTTACAATGCAGCATTGCAAGTTGACTCTGCCCACAGCCAGGTGTTTGATCCTGGAGTACTCAAGGTTGTTGACTCAGCCTTCCATCCTTCCAGGGTCAGTAAAATGAGGACCTAGATTGTTGGGGGTAATATACTGACGTTTGTAAACCATCCAGAGAGTGCTGTAAAGCACTATGGGACAGTATATAAATCTAAGTGCTATTGCTTTTGCTATTGCCATTGTTTGAAGGGAGATGGGGAGCAAAAGAGACAAAATGGAGTCCTGAGGTAAGTTTCCAAGTCTTTCTTCATTCTCTGGTGCCTGCCAGCACAAATTTTAAAGTTTACAACCAAGACAGCTGTATAATAGTATAAAACTAAAAAAAAAATCTACATATATGTTACGAGAAAAATGGGTATAGATCTACAATTAATCTTTCATGTGCTAGAGTGATGGTGTAGTTTATTGTAGGCCATGTGGCTGTAAACAACAAAAAAGTACTCTCACTATTGTCTTTCTTCATTAAAGTATTTAAAAGGCTGTCCATCCCAGAAAAATTCCTGGCTTTATTTCCAGCAGCTCTTCTCCATCTTTCTATCTCCCCATCTTAGCGTGGATGGATTGCTTGGCTGACTGCAGCCATTGACAAGCGTGTGGTGTCATTTGTCTCAGTCGTTATGGACGTCCTGAATTTTGTTGAGGTGAGAGTTTCCAGGTGCAGTACAGAATACACCTGTACTTTGTGTGTACTGGATTGGCTTGCAACAAAAGAAATCCTCTGTTCTTCCAGATTTTTCTAAAGGAGCTTCTTACCTTTATGAAGGAGCTCCATTATTATAAAGCTTAGAATATGTAATCAAAGCCTGATGGTCTCAGACATTAATTGGGTGACTTCAGCTATTGGAAATGAAAATCAGATTATGGTGGAAGCTGGTGTAATTCTCACAAATGAAGGGCACAAGGTTGGGAAAAGCTGACATTTATGCTACAATATGGTTTGAACCCAGGATTAGTGACAGGACCTCAGGAGCCAACCAATGTCAGATAACATCTTTGCTTATAGAAAATACTAAATGTCTTCCAGAAAGAAAATAAACATTTAAAACTTTTCCATTTGGTTTTTTTTTTTTTAAGGAAGAGTACGGTTAGACTGTCTTAAAAATAATTGGAAGTATTGCCTTTATCCCTAGAAAAGTTCAGTGAAATTATCATCTCTGTTACTTCTTTCAGAATTAAAAAAAATATATGAAAATGGGCATTTGTTCCAAAGCAAAGATGTTATCTGATGTGTCACTAAAAATATGGATACGTCCTAACAAACTGTCCCCCGAAGAAGCTATCTCTTTCTATGTTACAAGACCTGCATTTGTGTACCCTGCCTAGTTCATAGCACATGCCACGTTCCCTGAGAATTTCAGAGAGTTGCAGTTCTCACAAATGGAGGGCACAAGGTTGGGAAAAGCTGACATTTATGCCACAATATGGTTTGAACCCAGGATTACTGACAGGACCTCAGCAGCCAAAAAATGTCCAATGTTTGCAGGGTTGGTCTGCCCATGTGAGTCAGCTACTTAAAAATCTAATGCCAACAGTCTAGCTTTTTGTCAAGCTTCCGTTCATTGCACCAAAAGGTCACAGCTATAACCTTCTGCAGAATTTACATCACCAGTACAGATCATATTGTGGCTGGAGTTTCGCACTGGCACCTTTCTACTACATCAACATTACTCAACAGATCGATCATCCCCGTTTTGAACTTATTGCTTCAAATATCGACCCTTTGAGTAAGTAAGCACCACTGAAGTTGAAATGAGAAGGTTGAATTAATGAAGGACTAAACGTATAGGACTGTGGTATTTAGCAGGATACAGGTGGATTAAGGGAGATGCAGAGTATGTGAAAGAAACTTGAGACATACCATGATGGATTGTGAGAACAACCTTGAGGGACAGGAGGAAGAGCTGCAGCCAAAGCAATGGTCAGATAAGAGAAATATCAGCTCAAAGGAGGAATAGAATTTGAGAAAATGTTTCAAACCAGACTTTCCCTAATTCTCTTCAGGATAAAAGCAGGGAGGGGAAGATACAACCAGAGTTTCTAGATTCTGTTACTTTGACCCTCTACCTTTGATGTTCAACCTGCCTTGAAGGGCTGACATGTACTTAAGGTGTGAGAGAGGGGACAAATTAAATATCAAAAGCAGTTCTATTCTCTTTCCTCTGGACATTTTGCTTTCTGCTCAACTTGAGGCAAGGTTGAGATCCACACACCTTCCTTTTTTCCCCTTTTTCTGTTCCCAGAATATAATGAGCATTATATAAACAAAACAAAGTACCTACTTGTGGCATCAGGAGATGAAATGGGCCAGCCTGACAATTCTTATTATTATTTTAATCAGCTAACAGGAGAGAAATATCTCCGGTGAGTTGAGCCATAGTAGAATGTACTCTGGTGTAGAGGCTCTTGAGTTGCATTTTTTGGAAGAGTGGAGTGGAGAAATAACCAGTGCTCAGCGAAAGTTTGAATTAATGAGTTGCAAATAAATTGTATAAAAAGAGTGCATCTGAGAGCTTTTAATACAATTACAACTTAATTCTTGCAACAACTATACAGGTAGCATAGGTTAGAGTTAGACAGTCACTTTCAAATGAGAAAAAAATATTCCGCTGGGCAAATTTCATGTAACTCAATAAATGAATTTATTTAGTCACACTAGAGCTTAATGAGAGACAGTGGAGGAGAACAATCAGACTTTACTGTTCCTAAATGCCTTGTAATAATGACAAGCTTGCCTTATTTGGAAATTGCCTCAAATATAGCTTGAATTCCAATTCTCTAATACTGTTTGTGGATTTATTGGACTTTGCCGATTGGTGAGTAATATTAATCCTATATAATATCCAAGGATCACTAAATAGCCTCCTTGGTCAAGATAGAGGAGAAATGGCATTTTGTTTGGGAGCAGAAAATAACCTAGTATTGCAGCTTATTTTAACACCATAGCAGGATTTGTTTACTTTGTGTGCCAATGCAAAATTAAATAGGCAACTGTGCAAAGTTGTTTCAAAGCGAACTCTTGCTATTCAAGCAACGCCTGCATTTCACACCTTTCTCACCCTGATCGTTTACAGGATCATCCCAAATATGAACCATGCCTTAGCTTTCTATGAAGACAGTATTGGAATTCCAACCGCCACTTTTTACCTTATCACCATGCAGAATCAACAGCATCCCCAGGTCCATTGGAACAGGACTGTGGTGAGAGACATATTATTCACAACAGCCAAAACAGTTAATCTCCTATGCTAAAATATGAGCTTAGGTTCCACAAAAGGGCATTTTCAACAAACTATTTAGTCTGGTGGACACTTCTTGGGAAATCTTCGTTACATTACTCATTACGGTACTTTTAAGTACAGTGTTTAAATTAGTTATTTCTTTATTTTTGAGCAAACATTAGTCACAGCAAACCAATATAGACTGTACTCCCAATCCAATTCTGAGTGGGAAAATGTACTTCCCATTCTTTGAGAATGGGGGTGATGAAGGTGGATGGGAGAACTGGGGTTGATGGGAGGAGGAGGGCTGGAGAAGGAAGATTACAGCCCTGAGGTTCACGTGCATTACCAACTGTTGGGGTAGAGATCAGAGTCCATACGTTCACTTGTAGTCCTGTCCACCAGATACCAGCCTACCAATTATGTCACTGCAGCTGAGATAGCTAAGGCAAAAAGGATCAGCTGTGGTGGCACAGTAGTTAGAGTGCAGTGCTGCAGGCTACTTCTGCTGACTGCCGGTTGCCTGCAATTTGGCAGTTCAAATCTCACCAGGCTCAAGATTGACTCAGCCTTCCAATCTTCCGAGGTGGGTACAATGAGGACCCAAATTGTTGAGGACAATATGCTGACTTTATAAACCACTTAGAGAGGGCTGTAAAGCACTGTAAAGTGGTATATAAGTCTATGTTCTATTGCTATTCACTTGCCTGTTTCTCCCCGGATGTCCCAGTGTTGTTTCCACTACTGATTTTGCACAGAGCTCTCTGTGGTCCAGTAACTGTAAAATTCTCTCAGAAAAGAAGATATCAAATAAATAGAAATGTAAAACTTAAACAGATATAGCAGAAAAATCCTACCCTTTGAAAAGAAGAATCCCAGACTTACCCATGCGCTGATGTGACTTGAATCTGCCTACCTCTTAGTGCATGCTTTCTGTTGCAGCCGTCATTCTTACCCCTTTCAAATATCAAATCCAGCCTCAAGTTACCAAAATTTGCTTGTTCCATAGACCAGGTGTATATAAAGCTACTTAACTGATGGCCTATTATATTCTGACTTCATCAGGTCATAATAGAGGATCATGAGGGTTGACTTCCAAATACATCAGGACAACACCAAATTGGAGAAGACAGCATTAATGACATGGTCATCCAATATTTGATTTACATACCAACAATGTTTTTTGTTTCCACTTAAGGAAAAGGAAAACAATACTCAGATGAACACCTGTCTTCATTTCTTTCTCATTGATCCTTCCTCTTTTTCTAGAAAAATACTGGAGGAACTATTTACTTTTCCACAGACCAGGAGCCTTCATTGATCTATGCTTACTATGCTAACACTAATGATGACACAAGGTATTGGAGCTCTATACATTTGTTTTTACCATTCTCTGTCCCTTTTTGAGAGTTAATTGTGTAAAACCAAATGACATTTTTAAAAAACGATATAAACCAAAAGAAAATATAGAATTAAAATGAGAAATAAACCAATTCAAAAAGGAAGTAGAAAAAAAACCTGGAGTGTACAATTTTCTCTTCTACTTTTAAAATCACTAGGAGAGATTTCAGAATGTACGTGTTATCTGGACAAGAAGCTAAAAGGAATTCTATTAAGTGGAATCGTGCTAAGGTGAAGAAAGTGGTGAGTAGACATTCATTCATTCATTCATTCATTCATCTGTTCGTTCGTTTGTTCATTCAGTTTTGGTGGAGAGAAATAAAGCCGTCCAATTAATAGCAAGCACCCAGGTGTATAAGACATGGATGGGAAATTTATGAATGTTTAAATATTGCTATTACACTACAGTTCCCAACATATCTCACCATTGAGTGTCTAGGGGTGTCCAACCTTGGCAACTTTAAGACTTGTGGACTTCAAC